TGTGTATCCTGACATCTAGCGCTCCCTTATTATGCAGCATTACATTGTTGACTTCCCCTCAGCGATGATAGTGCTCGGCTGACACTGCCATGGCTGTAAGTGGGAAATGGTTTGGGTGGAATACAACAGTACAAATCTGCATGTCTCTCCCCTCGCTGCATTTATTACGACGCCTAACACTCCAATGGGATCACAGACAGTGCCATTGTGCTTAATGATGTCACGGTGATATGATGAAATGAATATGTGCTGCTAATGAATACAAGAAGAACAGAAAAAAAATCTCTGCTGCAGGATAGTAACACGACACAATATTTTAGGATGGTGACATTAGCGGCTAATATTAAAATGCATGAATATTATAAGACAAATTTGGTCGCAACAAGATATATGGCTCAAGATAAAAAGTAGCTGAGTTCAAACATCCAAACACTGCTTTTCTTCAACTGTAATGTTCTTTACTAGGGCATTAAATGTACGTATCTCCATGGAGACAAGAACAGGCCAAAATTACTCTTTCTGCTAAAGAAACACCTGTGGTTGAATAAATGTATGAGTTATAAGTTAAAAGTCATACTGTGTAAAATTCCAGGCAAGACAAACATCTCCAGGGAGACAAGGAGCTGACAGACTAACAGAAAAGTTACACAGTGCACCTTTAAGAAAAAAAAAGAATGTACAAAAATGGTACCTTTTTAGCCATTAAAGGTTCTTACAAAATTGACTCTTGTGAGCTTTAAGATATGTGTGTACAATCCCTCAGTCTTCCAGGTAGAATCTATCAAAAAGAGAAATTCAATTTATCAACTGGACAAAAGTTCATTTGTTTGAATACGTTTCATAGCTCATCCAAGTTGCTTCTTCAGTTCATTCAATTCATTCAATACTGGGATTTAGGTAGTGACCATTCAGATCAGAGAGTCCTTAAACCAACATGATTTCAGCACTGAAACTGGCGACATAAATGAGAGACTTCTGTGGCTCATTCTGCTTTCTAATTGTTAATTGTCTTGAGAATTAAAACAACAAATTATAACATAAGTCAAAGAAAAATTCTAATTTCTAGTGTTAGTTGTAACTAAAAGTAAATCAGCATGACAGTTTGTATCTGTAAAAGCTGTTATCTACATGATTTGACCATGTTTTCCGCATATCTGGGACATACAGATAAGGTAAGGAAATCAAAACCTTACATACAGTACCTTGAATGTTTTAATGTCTGGGATGTTCCACAAAATGCTTCTTCAGTTCATTCAATTGAGAACTGAAGAAGCAGCTTGGATGAGCTGCGAAACACATTCGACCAAATAAACTTTTGTCCAGCTGACAAATTAAATTTCTTCTTTTGCCTTTAAGACATGTTATAATGTTATTACCTCATCAAAAACAGACCTGGAGTTGTGTTTTGTTTCATTCACATGTTTGAGTAATTCTTTATTATTAGTCTGTCTACATCTCCAAAGCCAAAATGCTCTGTTCCACCTTGTGATGTGAGTAGAGGTAGTTTTCAAATGAACCTTTTACCTCTAGTACAGATTGGCGATTCCAGGTCTGAAATCATCCAAATGATTCTAGTTAAGGTGTATGGAGTTTAAGAACACAGTAGAGCACTTCCTGTATTGCCACAAGACATCACAAGGTAGAACAGAGTGTTTTCCATATTTGTAATGTATGTGTGTTAAAATGTGTGAATGAAATAGAACAATACTCCAGCCATGTTTTTGATGATGAAACAGCATTAGAACATAAAAATCCGAAAATGGCTTAACATACTAAAACAACATTTAAGAAATTCTAACCCAGTGAGCATATTAAGACATATTCATGCAGCTTCTTAAAGTCTGGTTAAAATGTACAAAAGAGATGCAAACACAATTCTTAACATGTTGTGGATTAGAAAGCGTGGATGTGATGGCACCCCGTGGGCTCATTTTGATATTCCCCATGAGGCTGTCTGCAGGTATGATCCAGCTACGGCTTCACCTCTGCTTCACATTAATCCCGTGTTTGCCTCTGCCTCTCCACTGTTTGTTGTCGCTGACTTAGAATACATTTGCACCTTTTAAATTTCCTTTCATCTGCCGCTGAACTGAAACAGCGTTCATAAAGCAATGCTTTTCACTTCAGTATTTTTGTCTCGTGCCTTGGTTTAAGCTCAGTGTGATGAGTTTTGAAGAGGGAAAAATGTGCAAAAGTGATATTTTTTAGATTTTTAAATTATTCTGTAAACATTCTATAATTTCACCTAAACTGCCTTCACCTTGAATCATCTGTCTGCTGTCATCATGATGATAATAGACATGCTCAATTTGTTTTAAAATGCTGCTATTGCAAAAGAAAATTGAAATTGGTCAGCTGGATAAACATTTTTACCAGAGATTTCTTTGACGTAATTACAGTTTCTTGAAAACCTCGATGTTTGGCAGATTGTATTACTAGGGCATCTGGCATTGTCAGTGAAACATGCATTATTACACAGATATATTGTGATGTGTGAGCTACCATGTCCAAGTAATTTCCCTTGTGAATCAATAAAGTTTGTCTTAGTCTATCTGACCTGTAATTTGCTTGTCTCCATGGAATTTGATAGCCTGATTCAGTCGGTTTCACTTCGTAGAAACCGTCTGACCTCTCACTTTTTTTTATTTAACCAATCACTGCTGTTTGGTCGTGACGTATGTAATGCACCAGAATGGTCAGTGGTGTCCAAGTAATTGCCGGCACAACGGCAAATAAAGCAGAGAATGAACATGTCTGTCAATGATCATTATCGTTTCTGCGAGGTGAACTTGCGAATTAAAGGTGCAATCAAAATTACAAAGTTTGTATTTGACAAAGGAAGTCCAAAAGAGGATAGCGTGTGCACTCTGCTATCGCAACTCAGCTCTTCACTGATTGGCCGGTGGGCGGTCTACAACTTCTAGGGTTATTGCAAACCATCTAGTGTATTCTGATTCCTGACCTAGTTGCTGGAGAGAAACAAAATTGAGTGGAGGCACTAGGTGCCAGCCTGGCTAGATGTTTGATGAATTCAACATCCCAGGCAAAGTAATAACATCTCCATAAAGACAAGAAAGTGGCGGGTCCTTCACCTTAAAACGTATGTAGCTCACTTTTTTAAAGTCAGGAATGTAAAAATAAATAGGTTTCATTTTTCATCTTTTTGCCTGTTTAAAATGTTAAAACAACATGAAGAAAGTTTAACTCTGTGCATTATTTGACATATTTCACATAAGAGGGAATGCTACAACACTACTGCTATTTCCTACTACAGGTGTGCAAAAATATTGAAATATCAATATATCATATCGTTTAATTTGATGATACAGTATTGATCGCCAAGAGTATTTTTAGGTATATTTTACATATTTATTTTGTATAAATTCTACAGTTGTGTTGACATTTTCACTGTTTTTAGGAGTAAAATGGGTGATTTTCATATTAACTCAGCACAAACTTGCTAGACTTAGTAAACGCTTAGTATCACAGCCATGACTTAGTCTTTGCTCTTCACTGAACCGTGTCAAATCGATTTGAAATATATCGTATCGAATCATACTGAATTGAAAGTGCACTGTATTGAAAAACATATCGTACTGTGGCCTATGTATTGAGGTATGCATCGCATCGGCAACTTCTTAATGATACCCAGACCTATTTCTTACCGACGGCATCTGGCATTTTTAGTTGACTGCTGAAAATAACACGTTTCATAAATTCATTGTTATGGGTATGTGCAAAATTATATCAAAATGCATGAAAAACACATTTTGAACACGTCAACACCTTTAAAGTTATATATAGGCTTTGCTTTTGCTGCCTGTCACACCACAAAATATGAATGAAGCTGTCTGTTTCTTTAACTGAGCACAAGGGGGAGACAAATCTCACATAAAAAAACACCCACACGCCACATTTTAATTGTGAGGTTGAATGAAACCATTTTGGACACGTGTGAATTAATGCGATTAGATAGGCCCCAAGGGAAAACAGGAGGACGCGTAATGTACCTAATGGTGCAGCGATGTAGTGCAGGGGAATCTCACGTATTTTTATAAACGAAGTAGGCACACATTTTAACTTAGACAGATATGATTTTTGAATATGTGACAATTAATGTTTATTCAAGGATTTTGGTTTGGAATCCTCTGTGATTACAAAATGTTATCTTTTCATTTGCCTCGTCCAGCCAAATCTGCCTACTCTAGAAATGAAAATTGAACAGAGCTTGGTAATTGGGCGCGTTCCACTATAAATTATAAACACAATGGCATAATTACAGCCTACTACATCTTAAAAGGTCCTATATTACATCTTAAAAGGTTCCATATTACATCTTAAAGGTCCTCTATTACATAAAATTAACTCTTGTGAGCTTTAAGCCATATTATAATTTTGTTACCTCATCGAAAACATACCTGGAGTTGTGTTTTGCTTCATTGCCACATGTTTGAGCAATCCTGCATAATTAGGCTGTCTACATCCCCGAAGCTCAAAATGCTCCACCTTGTGATGTCATATGTTAAAAATTAGCCTTTTAAATTGTCTTCTAAAGCTTTAGGACATTAAAAAAACAACAACTTACAAGCCTACAAATTTCTTAAATTACCATGGTCTGAACTGGTGGGAAATACAACAGGTGTATACTGTTTTAGAGTGACCAGACCAGTCCCAGTTTTGTGCCCTGTGTCCCCTGTTCCAGTGGATTTAATTCAACCAAAACCAGTGATTTGTCCCAGTTTTATACAAGAAATCTCCCAGGTATTCATATTTTTGACCAATTTGATATCTGCCAATAGTAAAGAGAGGCATATATTGACATTTGGCTACGTAAAATACAGAAAAAGCTGCTTAAAAATGACCAAAAACATAAAGAAAATGTGACTATACTGATTCACACACATCACGAGTGCATAAAAATGTCCTTAATTACGCACTCGTTTCATAGTTTCATTATTACCAACCAACCCAAACTAGAGATGTCTCAGTTTTTTACCTATACTGTTTACAAAACCTGCTCTCAACAGCGAGGTCACAGGTCAGAGTTGAGAGGTTCCGCCGCGTCTGACAAAGTGCCACCTGTAGCGGATGAGTCAGCGCGCGCATCTCCATCCAAAACGCGTCTTCGTGTTTGTTTGTGGACACCGTTCACTCGTTCACTCCACTCTCTCTGCCTCTCTCGCGGCGCCACGCACACGCACGCACGGACAGACCCTCACAGACGCGCGAGGAAGGAGGAGGAAGGATGCTCTGCTGCTAGAGGTGTGTGCCTGTCCACGCACACTTCATAATCATCTGCCCACGCGTGGATGGAGGCGAAAAAAAAAAAAATTCTCCGAAATGTTTCCGCCTCTGTCTGAGTGAATGATTGGCGGAGGAGTGACTGGATGAACACACCAAGCGCCACGTACGGGCTTTTTCCCCCGCTGTTGCTGCTGTTGCTTGTTTGTTTTCAACTTTGCACTGCCGCTTCTTGAGGTGCGAAGAGATATTTCCCCGTCGCCGTTTCGCCATCCACGGCTTTTCCCCCCGTTTCGCCCGACGCGCGAAGTATGCGAGAAGACCGACCGCTGTTTCTGCTGGTGGTGGTTGCAGCGTGTCCAGGCTGGGATTGACAAACGACTAAAGGAGATTTTCAGGAGGAAATATTGTTTTTGTTTTGCATTTCTTTTTAATATTTCATTTTGCGATGTCTACGCGGAAGGCATCGCTGACGGACAAGCAGCAAACCAAAAACGGCACGTCAAAATATGTCCTGGAGAGATGCGCGTCTATTAACGAGTATTACGATATTGCCTTCAAGGTGTGTATGCTCTTTTTAATTTTCCTTCACTGAACAGGTGCCAAGACAGTTTTGGATCGGATTTCTGACGTAGAAATTCCACACTAGTTGCATTATTGTGATCTTTACGCGCCTTCTTTAACCAGTAGTCTTGTTTACCGATGCTTTACAGTCTGCTTATCGACCTCCTTCATATGCTTTGCCCATTGCGCTTTTCTCTAACAGGCGCTTAATGTGTCCACTTGGCATTGCCTTGGCCCCTAGTGGCATCCAAATATTAGCTGAGGGCGAGGTACTTGTTGCTCCTTACTTCCTCTAATCAAACATTTATAAAGGACTGCGGGACACACCTGGACAGGGCAGACAGGTATTATTTAAGCTCAACATTAAATTACAAGTTGAACTGTAACATAATTTGCAGCGTATGACTCATTCACCTGCACTGAGATTGAAGGTAATTGAACCTACTGGTTTTCTACTGTGTTTAGTTCAGGGATGCTGGGAAATATCAATTGTGCTCAACTATTTTTAAATTATCTGACAATAGGAGGTTTATTAGGGTAAATTAGAAAACAATCAATCAGGATTTTTAATGTAATGAAGCCGGATAAATAGACTAACATTGGCGTGGTTGGGCGTAAGGAATATTGGGAATCATTTTATCAATCGTAAAATCAGAATTGTGACATTTTGACAATTCAGAAAAACCAAAACAAAAGCCTAATTCAATCAAACTACTTAAATTATATCACACCTAAAAAGATCTAGTCCAAAGTTTGGATCTTGGGAATGATGTTGTCAATCGTAAATCCGAATTATGACATTTTGACAGTTCAGTAACCCAAAACAGAAGCCTAATTCAATAAAAATAGCTAAATTATATCACACCTAAAAAGATCTAGTGCAAAGTGTGGATCTTGAGAATGATGTTGTCAATCGTAAATCCGAATTATGACATTTTGACAGTTCAAAATAACCAAAACAAAAGCCTAATTCAATAAATCTAGTTAAATTACATCACACCTAAAAAGATCTAGTACAACCTGTGGATCTTGGGAATGATTTTGTCAATCCTAAATCAGAATTATGACATTTTGAGAGTTCAGAAAAAACAAAACAAAAGCCTAATTCAACAAATCTAGCTCAATTATATCACATCTAAAAAGATCTAGTACAAAGTGTGGATCTTGGGAACTATTTTGTCAATTGTAAAATCCGAATTGTGACATTTTGATAGTTCAGTAAACCAAAACAAAAACCTAATTCAATAAATCTAGCTAAATTATATCACACCTAAAAAGATCTACAACAAAGTGTACATCTTGTGAATGATTTTGTCACTCATAAATCCAAATTGACATTTTGACAGTTCAGTAAACCAAAACAAAAAACTAATTCAATAAAACTAACAAAATTATATCACACCTAAAAAGATCTAGTGCAAAGTGTGGATCTTGGGAACTATTTTGTCAATTGTAAAATCCGAATTATGACACTTTGACAGTTCAAATAAAACAAATCAAAAGCCTAATTCAACAAAACTAGCTAAATTATATCACACCTAAAAAGATCTAGTTCAAAGTGTGGATGGTGGGAATTATTTTGTCAGTTGTAAAATCAGAGTTGTGACATTTTGACAGTTCAGAAAAAACAAAACAAAAGCCAAATTCAATAAAACTAACAAAATGATATCACACCTGAAAAGATCCAGTTCAAAGTGTGGATCTTGGGAATAATTTTTTCAATCCTAAAATTGTGAATTTCTGAAAAGCTTGACACTAAGAGCGTTATCTCAAGTGCTCTCCCAGGACTAGTCAGTGTCATGTGTTGTTATTTAGTGAAGTGAAAGCGTGGACAAAAAAACATCATATGACCAGATTTCACACCAAAATTGTGTCATATCAAATGACATCTTGGGTGTTGTTTAGGTGATGCTGCTGGGAGACTCGGCGGTGGGGAAGACGTGTGTGCTAGTGCGCTTCAAAGATGGAGCCTTCCTGGGAGGCAACTTCATAGCCACCGTTGGAATAGACTTTAGGGTGAGTGGACTAAATGTGTCAAAGTGAAAATGTGCTCGGAATATTTAAATGGTAAAGTGTATTGATGGAGTTTCTTCTTTTGTGTGTTTGCATGTTCTATATTACGCAAAATTTACTGTCTGTTGTGAGCTTTAAGCCATGTTAGAATGCTGTTACCTCCTCAAAAACATAGGTGGAGTTGTGTTTTGTTGACACATGTTTGAGTAATCCTCCATTATTCGGCTCCTGTCGACATCTTTAAAGCTCTAAATGCTCTGATCCACCTTATGGTGTCATGAAGCAGTACTTTTCAAGTTAACAGCAGTGGAGATTGGCAATTCCAGGTCTGAAATGATCAAATTATTCTAGTGAAATTGTATTATTAACTATAGATATCACAAGGCAGAAGAGTTTTCCATTTGAGAGAAGAACTCAGCCTAAATATGCAGGGTTTGTGTTCAACATGCGTGAATGAAACAAAACAAAACTCCAGCTATGTTTTTGGAAACAATATTATAAAATAGACCAGGAAATAGCGAGAAAATATGAGCCTTTTAACAGTAGGGAGTGGAGTCCTGCAGCCAAAAATGAACCCAGGTGGTTGGTTCTAGTTTTTGCCAGCAGTGGACAAGCCAAAACAACTTTATTTTAATGGGAATAAAACCATGTTTATGCAGATGTTCTCGTCTATTAGCGTGCTACATTTGAAATATGATGCGATTTTACCACCAGATAGAGACGTTTACTGTATTTAAGCAGCAAACTGGACCCGGAAAAAATTAGGACTGTGTAAATGTTTGCCAATGCTCTGGAACTTGTAATACTGTATAAGTCAGCCATGAGTCCAGGAAGCATTGTGTTAGGAAATGCTCTGTTGTTAGGACAAGTCAAGAGAGCTTATTGAGGGAATGCATAGACTGTATGAAGAAGTGGACTAAGCAAGTGTGATGTCAACCATAGAGTTTGGCTCTAGTCAAATGAAGCTCATGGGGCTGGCGGATATAGGGGCGAATTTGGGATAGGTATTTATTTACAGGCAAAACAGAGAAATAAAAACACTATTATCATGTAGAGCGGGTTAATCCAAACATTTTAAGACCAAAGTGATGAGCCTGGCAGCAGCAGTTACCAAGAGAGGCACGAAATTTTCTATGCAAAGTCAACTGGAGCCAAATTTGATGGAACGTGTCAGCCAGCGGGTTAGCTATGTCCATTTATATACCTTCAAGCTGGTTAAATGAGGCTTAAAACGTTAGCTGCAAGCGTGAATGTTGTTTTATAATTTAGATGAAAGCCTTTGTGGTGAAGAGAGTTTGAGCATTGAAATGATGTGCACAAATTTGGTGTCTGTGGTTTTGAAAAAGGCGGTGAGAGGTGGTTTGCCGTTGTCTGACAGAACAGATTGATTTTGCAGAATTAGTCAAACGTGTGAAAAAAAACGGACGCAACTCCATGTTTTTGTTGAACGCATCTTGCTGTAACATGGCCAACAGCTCAAATTATCTATAACACGAGACTAAGGCTACAGGATGAATCGCAATCGAATTTAAATAGACGCAATTAGCAATCAGCATATCATAACCATAATTTTCTCCAATACAACTGAATATCCAAAGTCTTAATCTGCATGAAAAGGCTAGATTAAACTTGTACCACCATGTTCTATATTGGGATTCTTGTTTTAGTTTTCAGGTCACATTTCAGACTTTTCCAGAAAGTCTGAAACTTGTCCAGAGTTCTTCTTGACAGGTTTAAAATGTGACCTTTGAACAGAAACCTATAATTAAATCATAAATCAAAAATCATAACATCGTAGACATTTTTCTAAAATCGTTCAGCCCTACACGGACCTAACTGGTGTAGTGTAATGATATTACAAAGAAACAAGCCAGTCAGTGACATGGACCCAATTAACACCTTACTTCTTGCACTTCATCATGGCGCTAAGATCGCACCAAATGTACAAACATTCAGCCGAGTTCACAGACCGCTTGTGCTGCTGGATGGTGACTTGGTAAGTGTCCGGGCAGATGGAAAGATAACGCGCAGTCCTATGACAGGCGGGCAGACGGGCGCTACCTACATACCACGCCGTAACTGACAGGGAGCAGTGAGCAGATGTCTTTTTACGAGTTCCCAATGGATCCCATGCGAAAAGAGATGATTAGGATGGGAGTGAAGGCTTCCAATGCAAACGACCACTGTTTTCCCCGCCAATTAAGGCCAGACCCTGTGCACTCACACTAATGGCGGAGCAAGGAGAAGGAGGAGGAGGAGGAAATTGTGTTGCATTAGCAGGCTCGGGCTTTGTCGTCTTGAAAACATGGCTACATAATGGATGTCTGGCTGGATGAATGATTTAGAATACTCCAGAGCGCAACAGGTGTGGAAGAATTGGATGCTGGTATGTGGCAATGATCTGCCAGACACAGTGTGAAAAAAGCAAGCAATGTGTGATAGTTTGTGACCTCCTTCAAACCCGGCAAGGTCTGTGTTTGTTGACAACAGCTTTTATATCAATGGTTCTGATTTTGAATGTCTAAAAAAAAAACAAAAAAAAAACTACTGTGTTATTAAAGGTTCACTATGTACCATTTTTGGTGGTGGGGGTTTTGCTGCCTGCTTGTCTCCCTGGAGATGTTATTACTTTTCCTGCAAGTTTCCACAGTATGTCATTAAATGTATTTATTTCCATGGAGACAAACAGGTGAAGCCAAGTTACAGATCATATTTGTCCAGACATAATTGCGCTCAATGTAAGAATGCATGTTTAATACCATACTGTGGGTCATTCTAGGTAAAGCAATAAAGTGTCTCTATCCCCCAGCCACAAATAGTACTTGGTGCATATTTAAAACCCATGTGCGATGTGATTTGACTTGATTTGATTAGTGATTACCATATCACAATTTTGAATCCCCTACTAAATTAAATGGAGCAAATGTGTTGTTGGAACACAATGCCAAAAGTTAATTTGATTAGATAATGAGATGGTAATTTGCAAACTCTTTATACTAAATTAAATCAGGTCTGAGCTAGAAATTAATTGTAACTAAGTCCTCACTAATTTTGTCTTGATTGAAGTTCTTTTTTATTTTTACTTGTAAATCACTCTTTGTGGTTGTGATGAAGACTATATTTGCAGTTTTCTTCCAATAGGCTCTATTCACGCTTACATCACAAACCAGGAAGACATTTGGAAACATGTGATGACAACTTCTGGTGTGATTAAACCAATTGAAGTAAATGTGATCAGCATTAAAATTTAGACTGCATATGTATGTGCTCTTTGGAATAATCTTGGATTTGGCGCCCTCATCTCTTCTAATCGCATGTATCCAGTGCGCTCAGAGTTGTGCATCAGTGGAGAAATGATGAAAACTGAGGTATAGTTGTAATTGTTGATTAGCTGAACATAACGGAATGCTACAATGACTTGGAGATGAAGAAAACTGGGCCATACCAGCTTGTCAAAGCCTGATCCCGTCAGATCTCAGAAGCTTAGCAAGGCCGGGCCTGGTTAGTACTTGGATGGGAGACCGCTGGGAAAATCAGGTGCCACAGGGGGGCGCCAGTCGCAAAAAAAACAGTTGTTGTGTCCTTAAGGCAAGGCACTTCACCCACATTGTGTAGTTTGAAAGTGATGTGTGCCTGAGTGATGGTGGTGGTCTGTCCCAGGGCAGCTGTGGCTATAATAGTAGCCTACCACCACCGGGTATGGAGTGAATGAATAATGCTCTTTGACTGCATTATGAATGAATAATGCTCAAAAAAGTGCTATATAAAACTGATGCATTATTTTCTCATGCAATGTCGGTAGTCGATAAATCTGAGTCAGTTCTCCCGACATCCGTTGTAAATGCGTTCCATTACAACAGTTGGGGAAAAATATGGATAATGTCCAATTGACTCGGTCTGCACCGAACTAGCCCGAGTTTGTGTTTTGGAAACCCCATTTGATTGGCTGTTCCATTGCACTTTCTCGAGATAGAGGTCATTTTTTCTGAGCACAACAGAATGCACCATTACTACCTCGAACAGAGCCCGCCGGAAGTTATCATCGCATGTTTCCAAGCATATTCCTGGTTTGTGATGTGTGAAGCGTGAATAGAGCCTATAATTACAACACAATTTGCACCTCATACTAGTTAATTCCAATCATTAGACCCTTATGACCATTTGTATTATTTAAATGTATTTTTCACACGTCCAGTGGCCTCGACGTGGCAAGCTTGTCCTCTCTGCGTGGTTGGACAGGGCAGGCTAGCAGGCTGTGTGTTGTGGCAGCTTGTAACATGGCCAGTCTATTTTTGGGCATGCTTCCTTGTAGTTACTCAGCATGCAAGCTCCTCTCACGTCATAATTGGGGAGAGGGAAAAAAACAGAAAGCCATGGCAACTAATGCAGGGGTTGAGCCATGTCCGTTCAGACGCTGGGAATTCTGCAGGTGGCCATGCTATGCACACATCACATTTTGCACGCGTCGCTAATGCAAAAGTGGTTGTGTTTCCTTGTTGTTGGTGTTGAGAAAGAATGCAGTCCAGGAAGTTCGCTTATTAGTCATACTTCCTTTTATTGCACTCTATAGCTAACACTACATTTTGATTATAGGGTGCTTTTTCAAATTCACACTAAATGCTACCTTTGAGACCTTAATGCCAAAGCAACAAGTTAGCTCATATATTATTACAGCTGTCTACAAATTGTGATGTATGCTTAGAACTTCTTTGATATCTGCATTTTGAAGGCATAAAACAACCTAATAGTTGTTTGTGCAGTGTGCAGTGTATATGCATCTGGTAGCAGGGGTGTAGTGGGAGTGGTACACAGGGGTACAGCGTCCACCCACTTCTCCCGACATGAAATTATAAAAAAATAACAAATATAAAATAGATACAACTTAAATGTCAAACCGGAGCTATTTGCAATAGTGAAAACAACCTGCATAGGCTCATGATATCTGCAGTGCTGTCCTATAGTGACCTGAGACATGAGGGACCAGGACTGATCCCAGGACTGAACCAGGAGGATTAAAGCAGGTCTAAACCAGCTCTAAAGTTGAACTAAACCAGAACTGAGCCAGGACTGAGTGCCCGGAGGTGCGCCCGCGTAGACCATTGGGTGACCGCAGGCAAAAGGACCAGTGCTGATTGTGCCTTGCGGACACCCTCCTTTGCAGGCTCGGGGTTCTCTCACTCTCAAGTCCAAGGTTAGTCAAAGATTAGTCCTGGTTTAGTCCTGGTGCAGACCTGGTTTAGTTCTGTTTTAGTCTTGGTTTAGAGCTAGTTTAGTCCTGGTTGAGCTAGTTTAGTCTTGGTTTAGAGCTAGTTTAGTCCTGGTTTAGTCCTAGTTTAGTCCTGGTTTAGAGCTAGTTTAGTCCTGGTTTAGTTCTGTTTTAGTCCTGGTTTAAAGCTAGTTTAGTCTTGGTTTAGTTCTGTTTTAGTCCTGGGTTAAAGCTAGTTTATTCTGGTTTAGAGCTAGTTTAGTCCTGGTCTAGAGCTAGTTTAGTCCTGGTTTAGAGCTAGTTTAGTCCTGGTCTAGAGCTAGTTTTTTCCTGGTTTAGAGCTAGTTTAGTCCTGGTCTAGAGCTAGTTTAGTCCTGGTTTAGTTCTAGTTTAGTCCTGTTTTAGAGCTAGTTTAGTCCTAGTTTAGAGCTAGTTTAGTCCTGGTTTAATCCTAGTTTAGGCTTGGTTTAGAGCTAGTTTAGTCCTAGTTTAGAGCTAGTTTAGTCCTAGTTGAGTCCTGGGCACATATGTTGTAGCCTATGATTTACGTTCTGTTGGTGATTATAAACGGCGTTAAAACATCGATGACGTCACGAATCGTGTACAGTACCCCCACTTAAAAAATCCTCACTATGCCTGCGGTAGTATTAAAAAAAAAAAATCAGTCATTCCGCTGACCTACCAGTGACCTTATTCAAATGTGTGCAAATGATTCCAGTATTATGTTGTCAGTTCCTCCTTTTGTCAATTCTCCTGGATGCGTTTAAAATGTGAACTTTGAACAGAATTATTAGAGTTATTAAAACATAAATTCTATGATTCCATAAATTCAATACAAAAATCAATAAAATCTAATCACAAAAACACAATTCAATATTTTTTCTCAGATAGTTCAGCCTTGATCACATAATAACGTGTTAAATACACTCTAGGGCTTGATGATTTGGGAAAAATATCACATTTTTTGACAAGCATTGCGATTGGATTTGGATTTGATTTATGTTTTAATAATAGGATTCTGTTCTGATTCAAGTTTTAAACGTGCCCAGAATAATTGACAAAAAGACTGAAATATGAAGCTCCAAACTAATACAAAAACTTATCCTCTTCATTTCGAACATGTTTGTACCAATGTAAATACAGGGTTTGCAGTTTTTATGCAGAAAAAGACAGAATATATTGTTGTTTGTGGAAAAACTTCAAGAAATTGCAGCCTTGATTTGCTAATTGTGATTTTGATTGAACTGCGATTATTCTCGTAGCCCTATTACGCTCCACACAAGGATCAACACTTAACAGCCTTTCTCTTGATTCACAACACAACATTGGGACTATTCTAGGCCACTGTCTGCTGCAGATACAGTAGGGCACCCCCACAGGGCTGCAGGAAACAAACCAGGGGGGAGACTGTTGTTGGAGTGCTAGCTGCTTATCCTCACAGTTGTGTAATTAAGTCTAATCCCAGGACCTTGTTTGTGGTGTGGGTGTCGCGAAATGGGCTTTCTCTGGCAGCATTCAGAGCCACTTTCAGAGCCAGTCGTCTTGTGTTTTCCTTGTGCTTTCCTGGTGCTTCATGCTGGGTGAATGTGCGTTTGCAGTCTGCCGTCACTCCCCCCATCCGCGCGCTGTCTGTGGCATATGGGGAACTGTCAATGATTTAGTGCTACTGTTTTGTTTTCACAGAATAAAGTGGTGGATGTGGACAATCTCAAAGTCAAACTGCAGGTAAGAGAAATACACTGGAGTTTACTTTAAAATCTGTATGAGTGGGTACTAGCATCGAAACTACTCTTTTGAACAATTTAAAATAAAGGAAAAAAGTCACATTCACAGGACAGAAATTAATCTTTCCTGAATAAATTTAGAATGATCTTAAGCTGTATCAGAACTAGCGTAACACCACCATTTACCTGAACTGAGGAATTATACAGATGTGAAGCCACAAGGTTTAAAAGAACGTACTACAATTTATGTTGAAAATCACATTCTACTGTCTAAATAAAGAGTGTTTTTGTATTGAGTTCATTCATTAGTATCAAAATTAAGCTTGAAAAGTTAGAACTGTGTCAACACTAGCTCTATGCAACCTGTATGGTGGAGGACCTGCCACCTACTTGTCTCTATGAAGATATTACCTGGTTTGCCTGGTATGTCCCGTAGTATGGCATTAAATGATTCAATCTTGCATTTAAAATGCATCATTTAGAAGTGCCTTTCATTTTTTCCCCTCTTTTTAATTTAATTTGCTACATGCAATACAATAATACAATACAGTAATACAAAATACAAAAATAATACATCAGTTTTACATAGCACTTTTTTTGGACACTCAAAGATGCTTTACAGAGCATTATTCATTCACTCCATACCCGGTGGTGGTAAACTACTACTATAGCCAACAGCTGCCCTGGGACAGACTGCCAGAAGCGAGGCTGCCAATCTGCGCCATCGGCCCCTCCGACCACCACCTTCATACTAGGCAATGTGGGTGAAGTGCCTTGCCTAAGGACACAATGACAGTTTTTGCAATCGGCGCCCCCCTGTGACACTTGATTTTCCCAGCAGTCTCCCATCCAAGTACTAACCAGGCCCAGCCTTGCTTAGCTTCTGAGATCTGACAGGACCAGGCTTTTACAAGATGGTATGGCCACAAACACAATAAGTACAATAAGTACAATATGGTACAATACAATACAAATGCACACAATGCATACAAGTGCTTTGTGTTGCATTTTTTTTTGTATGAAAAGCGCTCTATAAATAAAGTTTGATTGATTGATACAGTGCCTTTCTAACACCCAGTTCACTTTTCATTTCATAGACACAATAAACATTACATGCTTTTACCTTCTTCAACTTGGCCTGGTGGCTTGTCTTTATGTAGAGTGACAAGTTTAATGCCATATTGTGTAACATTCAGGCAAAGCAATACATTCTCCATGGAGAAAGATAGATGGTGAATTTTCAGCCAGAGAAGTTACATAGTTTACTCAGCATTACAATAGGCTACAATCTGTACTAATAAGCACATTCGGTGGTCTTAAATGCACTGTAAGCATTATGATTCAAAACAAAAAGGCTAAATGATTGTGTAACCCGCTCAGACACAATGGGAATCTGTTCCTTTTTATATTTTTTAAAAGTTTGATATTGATTCCAATCAAGGGGAGTTATGTTTTTTGCCAGAAATAATTTGTGTTGTTTTTGCCAAGATAACTTTTTTGGCGTTATGATCCGGATTGTCTGTCACCGCTGGTGGTTTAAAAAATTGCCAAGAGCAGAAAAACATCACCTTGCTGATAACACGTTGCTTCTAAAACTCTAAATCCTTTGTCATAGTAATGGGACAAATTTTATATGAAATAACATAGATGTTTTTAAAGGTGCACTTTGTAACTTTTATGATGTGTAGTACACAGCCCGCTCTTCCGCATGTGCATTTAACTGCTTTGCATTGATGTTCCACAATATGGCATTATATAATATACTTTAGCATTTATTCTAATATAGATTAAGTTTCCGTTTAATTGGAAAATAACAACATACTTTCTTAGTGTCAGATAGGTCACCTCTCCACAGATCTTACCTGTAACTTGGCCTAGTAGTGTCACTTGCTCATCTTCATGGCGATAAGTTTAATGCCATACTATGTAATATTTAAGAAAAAAAACAACAACAATTAAATCTCCATAGAAACAAGCAGATGGCCAAAAAGAGACATACTGTATTTGTTTCCTTTATTTATTCTGGAGTTAACGTTTTACTTTGGATTTTGAAGGCTATAAAGGGCCTGTGTGTCAGCTTGACGTTAACCTAATGTAAACATGTCTATCATCACAACCTGTTCATACGGCACAGTGGGAGGTGCTATAATTAGACCGTACTGCCGTTCCTCGTAAACCCATGGCTTCTTTTACACGGGCTTATGTGCCATCCCCTAATAGCATCACACTGTATAATTTATATTGGCGTTTCTCTTCTTTTGGATGCTAGCTGCTAGGATTTGTAACACATATTGCATATAATTATTTTGTCTTAGATCTGGGATACAGCTGGCCAGGAAAGGTTCCGCAGTGTAACACACGCCTACTACAGAGATGCCCAAGGTAACCCTAGCTTTTCTTATGCCTCACTTCCTGTTTGGGGAGGGAGTTGTGTGAAGTTTGGTACCCACATTGGATTGTGGATGTGGGTATTGGTTACATAAACTACAACACATGCAACCGTAACTAATCATAGTTCTGCTCTTTTGTTGACAGCCTTACTCCTGCTTTATGATATCACCAACAAGCCATCATTTGACAACATCAGGGTAAATGCTCCTCTGCCTTCTATAGCCACTGCTATCTAAACATTTATCAAGAGAATTAGATGAACACGCTTTGTTGCACTGAAACTTGCATCAGTATTGTTGGTTCAAATGAGCTCTCCAGTGATGTCTCCTTCATTTTTTCTGTTGTTTGTCAACCATTTCTCAATCTGAACACTGAAAATCTATAAACTAGTTCCAAAGCAACATGACTTGATTGTGTTGTGATTGATGGAAGAAGAGTGAAATTGCCCAGTGTTTAGACTCACTCCTCTTTCTGTTTCTTTTCTACTTTTTAAAGGCTTGGCTGACTGAGATACATGACTATGCCCAGAAGGATGTGGTCATCATGTTGCTCGGCAACAAGGTGAGCAAAGCTTCCCCTTTCTTTCTTCTTCTACTGTATGTGCATTACTTAAGAATATCATAAGGATAAGAGGTCTCTTAACCATGCTCTTATCACACTTGGGCAGACATGAAAATGCACGAGAAACCAGGAAGTGCTCCACTGAGCTGCACACGGAGCTTCAGGATTTAGTCGCCTGTTTATAGTCACATTTGTGTGTCTCCATTGGTTTTGTGTGCACAGTGCTTTGTAAAACAATCCCGGCAGTAAAAATAATTACAGTCTATTTATACACTGCATTCCAAATTAGGTTATGCACCACTGCCTTTATGTGTCTCGATAACAAAATTAACCAATCAGCCAATGACAGGAAGCCCACAAACATGGCTCCATTAGCTTGTCATCATGCCTCTGCTGCCTGATAAGCTTCCAGCTGTCTGAGTGGGTAGGTCACAGTGCGCCCTCTGGTGGTGGGCATGGGTACATTCTTTGCTGGGGCCACACAGCTGTTGAGCTGTTGGGTGAGAGTGAGAGGACCACAGGCATGTTTAGCAGCATCAGCATCAGTCTGACACAGTCAGGCATGACAGTAGCTAATGGCACAGAGATGACTTGTGGCCAGCTGCAGTGACCTATATGTTCTGTACATGTGCTGTGTTCCAGTCGGACCTCGCCGCAGAAAGAGTGGTAAAGACAGAAGAGGGAGAGAAGCTGGCAAAGGTACATGGCTCATCTTTGTGATAAAACGCCTACATGTGCATTTCTCTAATTATTTTCACTTTCAGGAATATGGAGTACCATTTATGGAGACCAGTGCCAAGACTGGAGTTAATGTGGAGCTAGCTTTCCACGCCATAGCGAGGTTTGTTTTGTATTTCTGTTTAAAAAAAAAAAAAAAAAGTAATTTTGAAGTCAGGAGAAACACTTGCACACGTGTGTGCTTGTTGTCTATTATGTGTTACAAATGACTCCTAAAACAGAATGAGGTTTACACAGAGGATGGCAAACAACAAAGGATGGCAAACAAATCTATAATTACATATTTGTATTCAGTGAAAATGCTTTGTCAAAGCATTCCATCGTACAGTCAAAGAGACCATTTTAAGTGACTCCTGCAACGAGGAAAATTTATTTCTATTGAATTTCCCTAGAATTTCTTTGCTTTTGTTGGCAGTCTGGCCACATAACAATAGGTTCTTTTTAAAGACCTGTATTTGTCTCCTTTAATGTGTCATTATTGAAGACATTCAGCTGCAGTTCCTGTGTTTGGCATTGATGTGTGAAGCACTGTTGGATCTTGAATTGACTTTTAGTCAATTCTTTGTTGCTTTTTGGAAGACAATCAATAAAAATGTCAAGAGAATAAAAAGTATAGACAAATATGACAATATGACAATGTGGATAGAAGGGAGAAAAGATCCAAAACACACACAATAGCTCAAGATCAGGAGATGGGACTGAGCGCTGTACTCCTGACAGGTAGCCCCGACTGCACTGAGGGATGAGTCAAATGAACAGGACAAATTTCCTAATGGAACAATAAAAGTGTGCCTTAGCCAGGTTTAATTAGTTTAATATGTGCATATAATTTTTATTAAAGCCATATGTCTAATTGATAAAAGAGTTGTTACACTATTTCATTCTAGGCTCTGTATAAAAACTACAATTATCTTATTATGCAGTTATATTCCACAGTAAATTGTGCTATTCTAATAAAGTAAAAGTAAGTAAAATAGCTGTTGTATGATTATTGTTATATGATGTCCTCCTTAGATTGCAGTGTATCTAGCCGCAGGTCCCTTTTTCTGGACTTTCTGTATGTTTCCTCAGCACACTCTTTTTATATCTCTTCCTCTCATTGAGTTGCTGGCCCTGTCTGCGCTCTCCAGCCCACACATCCTCCACCTCCTCCTCCCTGGTTCTAACTTCCTGTTTTTTTTCTGTCAGGGAGCTGAAGCACCGAACCACGCAGGAGCCCAACGATCCCAAGTTCCACATTCACGACTACATCGAGTCCCAAAAGCAGAAGGCCGGCTGCTGTGTGCTGATTTAACCCGTGCCCCAACACAAAAACCACATGGACACACAGATGTATACATTAGCAGAGGAAGGGAGTGCAACAAGTCAATCCCAGCCCTGGATCGCACAGCGCACCTTCTCCTCAGAGGAAGTCCGGGCTGGGCTGTCAAACCCTAATCAGAAATGTGAATTTAAATTGACGTTATGTTGTAAGCTGGGCTTGGCATTAACTTTTTGCTTACTGTGTTTTTTAGATTTCCCATATGCTTTAGTAACATATTTTGGATGCCTTAGGATTAGTATTTCACATGTGTTCCTTGAAATAATCTATATGTATGAAGAGTAAAAATCTATTCAGGCCTGCTACCTGACATAAAATGGCATGTACATTTTATGTGCCCTCTGCAGGCAACAGTGGGACAAGAAGTGGTAGCAGTTTAAATAAGACTAAAAGCCATAGCTCCTAGCAGCTCTCAAATAGTTTTATAGTAAGAGATGAGTTGAAATAAAGGATATTCTTGAGAGATCATCAGAACAAGTCTGGTGATGATGAATGAGCACTTTAGCTTTCAATACGCAGATGGCCTCAGCATGCAGAGTTACTCAAGTGTGCATAAACAAACCAAAACTCAAAAAAAGTATATATACTATCACAATTAATTTGGCATCGAACATAATGGCATTTAAGGACTTTTTGGGCTTGTTGAACTGAATGCGTTTCAAGCTCAAATGTAAATGTGGCTGCTCGGCTCATGTTAATGTCAAGCCCTGGTTGTGAGAACACTTTGTGGTCCTTTGTGGTGACAGATGTGATATGCTGCATCTCAATTCTTAACAGTTTTTGATTCCTCCACTAACGACTTCACCCACCGAAGAGAGACGGCTGACTTGAGGCAGCACCAGCTCTCATTTTGGTAGTGTAATGTACGAATTGAGATGCAGCCTAAAGCTACAAAACAAAACGCTGAACCCCTTTGCAGCCGAACAATCAATATGGCTGCCTCAGTGGGTGGGGCCTTTTGCTCTGCAGTGTGTTTTCCATCCCACGTTTACCAGGCTGTGAATTCAGTCCCTTTGGCCTTACAGTCCTCATCTCGTTCATTCTTCAGTCAGATTGTAGCTTGGAAATGGTCTCATTAGTTCATGTGTGTACTGTGGTTAGGTAGAATAAAGCCGATGTTTGGAGGGCACTCGTCCTGTGTGTGTCTCTATGTATTTAATTCAGGAAACGTACATATTTGTAATGTCATACATGTAGCTTCAATCTGGGTGTTTGGGTGCATTAAAGGTTCTAAAAGGCCAGTGTCATTGACAAGTGTGTGTCTTGTTAAATAATTGGTGGGAGAATATAAGGTCAATACGAATTTAGTTTAAAGGGTCTGTATTGCGCTATTTTTTGATCTGTTATAATATTTCCGCATTAAAAACATTTCTGGAGTTGTGTTTTGTTTCATTCACTCGTGTTTAACACCCAAACCCTGCATGTTTAAGTTGAGTTCTCTCAAACAGAAAACACTGTTCCACTTTGTGATGTCACATGATAATACAGGCAGCCCTCCACTATGTTTTTAAACTCTAAACACCTTTATCAGATTCATAATTGGTGCTGTTAACTTGAAAACCTCATGACATCACAGGGTGGAGCAGAGCATTTTGGAGATGTAGAAAGACTAATAATAAAGGATTACTCAATGTGTTAATGAAACAAAACACAACTCCAGGTCTGTTTTTGAGGCGGTAACAACATAAGATGACTTTAAGAAATACGGGACCTTTTAAACAAGTGGCTGATGATAGATTTATACTAAAAGGAAAAAGGAGGGGGAAAAAAAACAAAAAACATTACGTCAAAAATATTACACAACGTCCTCTAGATGGAGATGTACTGACTTTATTAAGGTGAATAAATGTGTTCTTTGTCAGTATTACAAAACAATACTTTCAATGTTTTTTGTGAATACTGTTCTTTGTTAAAATAGTTTTTGTAAACAAAGCCATGACGTTTAGGTTCAAATGATTTTGTGAGGCAAGATTTTGTCATGTAATCATCAGTCTGTCGCCTGACCCGCTCATCCTGAATGTTGTCTAACTCTGTCTGTGTCTCATGTGTTCGTCCTGGGTCATCACAGTGATCACAAAGTGCCATAGAAAGTGCTTTGTAATCATACTTTCTTTGTATATTAATCTCTATATGTATAAAGTGTATTTTTTGTAATATATGTTGTGGTTTTATTGGTCCTGTGCTTGTTTGTGTTGTTTGGGAGAACGTCTTTAGATGAGTAGACCACTGTGGGGCAGCACTGTACAGTTTTTTTTGTTTCTTTCACCAGCTTTTCTCACTGCTTTCACTGCATAACCGCTTTAGCTTCACCTGTGTTCATATCAGATTGAAGTGTCTAAAGACCTCTTAGTACTGGAAAAGCTCTCATTTCTTCGCCTTTTAGTTAAGCTCTAAGCCATGTGGTTTTTACACCGCATTATCAACGCTTATTTCACCCAGATGTTCTATTAACTTGGAGGTGACAGGGAAGTCAAGGTTTTGCTGAAATACTTCTGGTGAGATTTTATTTGAGGCTCTTGGAGATAGATTTTAAAAGTGGTTATGTTTATGTGCACATCAAACATCTGCTCATTATCTGATTTCTGGAGTTATCCAATTGAAATGTCTGTCTGATTGTAACTGTGTGCAGGTTTTGACGAGGAGAATTATGCAAACAAAAGTGCAAAGTAATGTGGCAAAGACAAAAATAAAAGAGAAAAAAGGACTGTAAGAGTTATTTTAAAAAGGTTGCACTCTTAAATGTAGCCTGACTTTAATATATAAGATACATAACTGACCTCTTAAAGCTTTATAGAACAAAGACAAGTGAAATTTTGTGTGTTAAATTAAAATAACGAGGCCCCTTACCAATTTTACCCAACATGCAGTGGAGCAAACTGATCATTTTGTCTAAAATTACAAATAATAACAAAATAACCTAAAATAAATAACGATTTGGTGCTCTAGTGTGTCTAACGACGCATTTAGAGATTTCACGGACGCGTTGGTAAACAAATCATCACATAGCGTGTCGCGTATCATTTTCCTGGATAGCCTTTTTTTTTGTCACTACTTTGCATCAAAAAAGTGCGCGCTGGGCCGGGCCGTGGTCGCACCTCCCTCTTCCTGAGTGCACTCTACTTGCGTCGCTAGTTTGGAGCTGCCGCTATCTGTCTTCGCCACGGGTCACTGTTATCCGCATCACCACGCTCCGGCCTCTCCAAGTCACATAAAAGCAGGATTAGAGCTGTTAGTGGACGAACGAGAAGGCGGGGACTGCTTTCAAGGTTCCCACACATTTTTACGCACACCCTCCTCGCGGGCAGCATCTTTCTAGTGTTCCCGAGTGCGCGCAACAGGTCGGACCGCCTGTTCAACCATGCCGAGCAAAAGCCAGTACTTGCGTCCGAGGCTGTGCATGCTGGAGAAGGGAGACAACGGCTACGGGTTTCACCTACACGGGGAGAAAGGGAAGACCGGCCAGTTCATCCGCCTGGTGGAGCCCGACAGTCCCGCTGAGAGCTCCGGGCTGCGCGCCGGAGACCGCCTCGTCTTCGTGAACGGCGAGGACGTGGAGAACGAGAGCCACCAACAAGTCGTGTCCCGGATACGCGCCACGGCGGGACTCCTGGAGCTGATCGTGGTAGACCCGGAGACGGAACAGTTGCTAAAGAGACACAATCTGAAGTGCCAGAAAGAGTATGTCACCGAGGGAGTCCCGGTGGAGGAGGAAGATGGGGAGGAAGAGGAGGTGGAGGTAGAGGAGCAGCGGCAGGTGGAAGAGGGAGAGTCTGTGGAAGCGGAGACCGTGGATGGGACAGAGAACGGAGACAAAGATGATGAAGAAAAAGTAGTTACCGCGGATGTAGAGGCGGCAGAGGAGACACAAGAGGAGACACACGAGGAGACACACGAGGAGACACACGAGGAGACACACGAAGAAACACACGAAGAGACACACGAGGAGACACACGAGGAGACACACGAGGAGACACACGAGGAGACAAATGAGGAGACAGCTGAGGAGACACGGGAGGAGACACGGGAGGAGAGACGGGAGGAGGACGCGCAACAAGACGTGACCCCGAGACAGTCCACGCCGGTCCCGGAGCCGGTTCACGAGAGCAACGGAGACATCCACAATCACGTGGAGAAGAAGCTCAGCGTCCACTCCGATAAGGACTCCGTAAAGGTGCGTGAAAATCTGCATTTAAATGTCACAGTGTTTGTTGTGAGAAGTTTCCAGAAAGATAACTTAACTAAACACGTCGCAACACCACAGGGGGAATGCACTGAATGGAGAAGCAAGACCTGATTTAAAGCTTTAAACTTTAAACAACTCACTAAAGGTGTCATTAAGGACCAAAAAGCTCTCAAATAGTGTCATGCCAGCGCCGTATTGAACAAACTATTGCAGAAAACCAAAATCAATAGCCTTTAAGTAACAGTCTGATCTAATCTATTTCTAAACAGGCATATCTCATCGATTGTTGCTGCAATAAATAGCAAAGATGACTTAATCTCATGATGTAATCTAAACAAGTAAATTTGTTTCAATTTAGTCTGTTATTAATTCATGTTTCAACAAAGGCAGTGCTCAGAATGACTCACAACAGCAAATACCACAAAGGTTAAGTTGATTTTGTTGAGCAAGATCTGAAAGTATTTTCTAGTTTCATGACATTGAGAGGTACACCCATCGGATTACGCAATCAATGTTCATGGGTGAGCTTTTAACTCTCATTCTTCACTGGGCTATAGATGAGTTATGTATTATGATAATGTCCACTTGGCCCACGTGTTCCCGAGCAGAGCAGCTGTGGGCATAGGGTCATCTGTCGGGGTATTCGGTGTGGGTGAGAGGACAAACACTTCACTTCAGCTTTGAGGCAGTTGTCTTGACAGTATGGAGGCTGCTATAGGGGTGGGGTGCATGATAATATTGTTCTAAATGCACTATCTATAATGCACAAACTAAAAATGTCACAATATCTGCTTTTCCAACTGAAAAACTTGTGTAGAGATCAGCGTGGGATTGTTGAAAGTGTGGAAAATCAGATCTTAAAGTGCTCATATTATGCTATTTTCTGATGTTACAATGTTGTTTCCTCATCAAAAACAGAGCTGGAGTTGTGTTTTGTTTCATTCGCACATGTTTAACTCACAAACCCTGCAGATTTAGCCTCAGTTCTTCTCTCAAAAAGAAAACACTCTGTTCCAACTTGTGATGTCACACTGCAAAAAACTAAATCTAGTCAAGTTAAGATGACTTGAATTAAGAAAGTTTCATCATGATTTGAGCAAATTTCACTTGACAAGTAAAATGAGCTGCCAGTGGAATAAGACTTTTTGTACTTAAAATATGAAAATACAAGTTGCTACATCTAAATTAAGAAAAACAACAACTCTGCACTTAAAATAAGAAACAAAACCGAATGTTGCTTAAATTCAGAAAAACACACTTATTCCATTGGTAGATAATTTTACTTGTCAAGTTGAATCTACTCAAATAAAGTAAAATGATCTTAATTTAAGTCATTTTAACTTACCTAGATATTGTTTTCTTCCAGTGCATGCTCTACTGTGTTTTTGAACACCATACACTTTCACTAGAAACATTTGTATGATATCAGCACAGGAATTTCCAAACTCTACTAAATTAAAGGTAAAGGTAACTGTTAACTTGAAAACTACCGCTTCATGACATTATGAGGTGGAACAAAGCATTTTGAGCTTTGGAGATGTAAACAGACTAATAAAAAAACTTCCTCAAACATGTGTGAATGAAACAAAACACAACACTGGGATGTTTTTGATGAGGTAACAACATTATAAGCAATATATTGTGGTATCGTATCGTCAAAAGTCTCACAATAATATCGTGGGCCATCACACTAGGGCTGGGTATCATTAAGACGTTGCCGATACGATACATACCTCGATACACAGGCCATGATATGATACATATCTCGATACAGCGCACTTTCGATTCGATATGATATATTTCAAATCGATTCGATACAGTTCAATAATAAATAAAGGCTAAATCGTGGCTGTGATACTAAAAGTCTTTGTTAAACCACTTCTTGTCCAAAGTTGATATGAAACACACATTTTAATCATCAAAACTGTAAAAATGTCAAATGTGTTTCATAAATGAGTTTCCTTTCACTCCACAAGCAACAAAACTGTAGCTCTGTAACAAAATTTAGTAAAACACACGTAAAAATACTCTTGGTGATATATCGATACAGCAGCCCACAATATCGATACTGTATCATCACATTAAACGATACGATATATCGATATTCCGATATTTTTGCACACCCCTACATCACACTATATCGAATTACAAGTTCCTTTGCTTCATTGATATCGTGCTGCAATCGCAAAAAAAACAGAGGGAACTACATCTACCATGATCCTTTGCTCTGTTTTGGCGCAAACTACATGAAGAAATAGCAGTTCTAAGTACTTTTAAGTCTTAGTTCTTTGAATTAAATCTTTTCAAGCAAGGTATTTTAAGAAGAAATACTAGTATGTTCACAATTTTGTTAGTCTCCACAAAATATCACAATAAATATCATAACTGTGAGATGTATATCATGAAAATATCATAACGTGAGATTTGGATATCATTACATCCCTAATTATAACATGTCTTAAAGCTTGCAGGAGTCAATTTTGCGTAATGAAGGACTTTTAATCGAGACTGAAGCTAGTATAAAAAGTAGATACTCATCAGAACAGATATCACAGTTTTAAAATCATGTTAAGCTTTATCTAACTATTAGAAAACAAAATCATAACGTAAGAAAAGTACTCTTATTTAGTACTGAAAATGAAAAGTTGTATTGTCTAAAAAAGTATTATCACTGTGGTATGGAAACTGGTATCAAGCCTATTCCTTAGTATCGAAACTGAATTTGAAATGTTATTTGCATGACAAAACTAGATCAGAATGTGTCCTTTACAGATCCTATAACCAATTCTTACTAATGCATTGGATTTACAGTAAAGCACTATTTGGTTTAGCTATAATATATAGCAACACTTTTAGCCAGAGCTGGGAGCAAACCATTAAACTTTATTCAACAAAGCTACCAGATTTCACATTTTCCCCAGATTGTGGTGTTCGCGCCTGTACAGCAACGTTGCATGTCTGGTGGCTGCATCGAGAGAAAACAACACATATCTGAAAAACCACTACAGGAAATAGCGCTGCGTCTTCTTTAAAACAAATGAGGCAAATTGAGTTTGTGTGATGCTTGTTGTTATGGGCCTGGTTTTGTTCCGCTGTGGCCCCTCGTGGCTTGATTTTCTGGCTCTCTGCTCTCACTATTCGTTCATTAAAAGCCACTCGAGGAGGAGGAGGAGGAGGAGGAGAAGAAGAGGGTTCCTCCAGGATCAGCAGCTGTGTCCTCGCTGCATCCTTCACTGGTGTTTACCCCCCAGGCTGTTTTAGTTCCACTGTTGGTAGAGGATGGATACAGATGTGCTGGCCGCTCCATTCAAGCAGTACAGGCAAAAGTGGGTAAGGTGGGTGACATGTTTTGCTCAAGGGCACTTTGGCAGCCAGTGTGTACTAGGCCGACCTGCGATAAGACGCTCACTTTACCACCTAAACATTGTAACCACTAACTGTTTGTATACTGTGTGTACTTTGTGTACTATTCCAGAACAGTGGCTTAAGTGCACATCGAAAATCTGATCATTATCTGATTTCTGGAGTTATTGGATTATTGAAATGTCATGTTAATGGTTATGGCAAAGACTAAAGTAAGATTGGAAAACGTATTTTTAAATCCATTGTACATTGTGACGTTATAGAGAAACAATTTACAAAAAAATAAAAGGCAGAAAGACCAGAATACATAAGTGGTTACTGCAAATGTATTACAATCTGTGTCAGCAAAACCAGATTTTATTTTAAATATACAGATTTTAAACCCTTTAAGTCAGGGGTGTCAAACTCAAATTCACAGAGGGCCAAAATTAAAAATTGGGAAGTCGTGGGCCAAACTAAATATTTATTGAAAAATTTCAACAACATTTGCATGTTTTTTCTTCTTTTGAGATATGTAATGTTAAACCTTTTCTTATTAAAATAAATGTTTAATAATAGTTTTCCTGAAACACTGAATTCAAAACAAGCATAATATAGTCTACAGTATCTGTAGCCGGCGGGCAGCTCTAATACATATTTGATATGATCTTGCGGGCCAAATATGGCCCCCAGGCCTGAGTCTGACATGTTTGTAAGTAATTTCAGTGCTCCTTATTTAAACATCATTAGTCATGTTGAATGTAGGAATCAAAGACCTGTCATGCCGTGGTGTAAATCTGCATTCTAAGTATGTTTGCATAGTTGTGATTGTAACTTAGTTGGTATTCCATGCATACTTCTCCATAAACGTCCGCTCTATTCTTATGTATATTTTCTTGACTTACATCTGACGCCTACATTAGTGACGTCTGAACCCTGTCTGTAAAGCCACACAAAGAGGGTCCGAAGAGCGACGCCCCTCTTCAGATAACTGAGCAACACTCAACACTGGGGTTGCCATGGTTACGGGCTGATGTACGCTCCCTGTATGTGTGAGGTGGGCGAAAGTGAGACAAGTGCAGGGGAGGTGCGAAGAAGAATAATTGACCAAGATTAAAGAAAAGAAAAGTGGAGCTGCTGCCGTCATGGTGGAAAAGAACACAAACACAGAGGCCGGTGCAAAGGTCGACTTGTGTTTACCAGCCAGTAAAAATTTTACTCCATTGTGGAGGACTGTGAAGTAACTGCACTCTGCACTCTCTTTCAAATATTGATCACTTTCAACCTATTCCACCGTATATCATATGGATTATTACCATATTATGGATTATTTAATTTGATGTATTTAACTCTCTTTTTGGTGAGCATGTAAAGGCAATGTCTTATCCATTTTACGCTTTGGCCATAATGCCTATGGTGGTGCTCAAACTGCTAACCTTTTACTAACAATGTCCTATTTTATCATGACTAATTCTGTAAGTAGTATCAAAAATACTTCATAGTACTTGTCACAGTATTATTAAAAGTCGTGATGGTGCTAGATTGCTCATTAGCACCTTGTAATAATAATCAATAGTTTTTGTATTTGTAAGACAAAGTACATTTTTTGTACAAACTGTTTACATGACGATTCAATAATCTGATAT